AAAAAAGGTAATACCTCTTGACCTGAGGTAACCTCCAAAGATCTGGTGAACCAGTGTTGTGGCCTGGGTCTGTCTGTCAAGCCTACAGACAGGAAGGAAACAATGAAAAAGACGATTAAAATGACACTCATGAAACATATTCATACTTCTAACACTCTTATGAAACAATAATAAAGCCTTACTTAGGGTAGCCATTGAGACAGGCTTTCTGCATGGCATCGATGGTGTACCGCAAAAATTCATGGGCGTCCTCCTGGCTTCCAAACCGAAAATGTCTGGCGATTTCTGTGGGAGTCAAAAGTGCATATTAGCGGTGTACTAATTTTAGACTTCCAACACTGAGGGCTTTGTGACAATTGTTTATATTTTAACAGTTAAAGAAACAGCAGAGTTGGCCATTACTTTACACTGAATAAAAGGTGAGCTAGTGTTTCATTAACAGCTCAGAATAAAAATGTTAATCAGATACTAAACACTAAAAAGCCACATTTTTCAGATTTGCTTTATGTCACAGACTATTCACAGACACACTGACAACAAAGGGACAGCAGGAAGCATTAACAATCTTTTTGTTCTGCCAACATTTGTATTTTCTAAAAATATGTTGATGCTAAACACCTCAGAAAGTGCTCCAATTCCTAACCTGCCAACTTCCTGTCAGAAGTAAAATGATGCATAATGTGTGTATTCTTTAAACAATTATAGCAGCTACACAGGTAACTTGAAGTCTTTATTTAAAAAAGTATTAATAGTATTATAGGAGTAGCAGGCCATAATGTGGCTTTAACTGTTCAAGATGTTTACACATGGCAATTAGGCACATACACAAAGTAAAAAACAGTGAGGATAGTTTAATATGTTGTAAAGGTTAAAGAGTACATTTTCATAGGTACTTACAGCTACACTCTAAGATTAGCACCTCATGTATCTCAGACCTGCAGTTCAGCAATGACCTAATAAAAAGCTTACAGTCACTTCAGCAGACTGACGTCTCATCTAGAAGACTCACATTATGGATAAAACCATTTGCCTCTGCTGTTATTTCCTAATGGAAAAAAGGGAAAGCATGAGCTGGTAGAATTATAGGGTGGTCATCACCACATTCCCAGCATAGCGTCCCTGTATGACAATGAGTCACCCCGAGTGGGGAAAAAGGAATAAGACACCATTGCTCTAATGACCGGTTCAGAGCACTTCTCACAGATGAGGGAGACCACATCTTGAATATATGAAATCTGGAGGCATACGATTGGGCGGTTGTGGTTTTATTTTGCTTGTGAGACCCTGGGGCGATTTCAGCATCAGTTGCAGTAAGCTCTTTCAATTTTAGCATGATGACACTGCGCAGTATTTGTATTTTTTGTTGGGGGTGGTGGGAGGGGGGGGTTGCTGAGCAAGAGCCATAGATGTTGAATTTTCATTGTATGCATTTACGTTGTTCTAGCTGTGGAGGCACATTTCTAACTGTGGGGGTGGCCAACAGCTAACGGTTGGAAAAGCAAACCGTAAAAACACGTACAGTACATCTCTAAGTCTGGGCTGAAAAAGGTAGACTGTACATTTTTGTGCTAAAGCTGCTCCTCTCAGCCTGCAGTCACAAGGAGACAGAGAGGGCATCGGGGAAGGAGGGGGACTGAAAAAGAGGCGCAGGAGGTGGAGACATGATTGCAGCAGCACATAAGGAAGAAGCAGGCATGTAGGGAGGGGACTGGGGGTGGAGGGAGGGCTCCTGTGAGACTACAGCACAGTGCCTCACCATGTCAAGGTGCAACTCACACCTCATCTCTGCTCTCTACATGGTGTTCACTAACAGCCTGCAGTCTCACCGCTCCACTTTTGGAGTGCAGTTACTGGCTGTTGTCACATGGGACACCGGGGCCAATGTCGCATCTTTGTGCCTCTGGCAGTAATTCAACCAAAAAATAAAGAATAAAAAAAAAATCAGGTGCCTGTGACTCCTGACACAACCTACATTGAAAACTAGCGAGTGCAAACAGTCTCAAAAAGAAGCTGGTGGTCTTACTTTTCAGGTCTCTGATGAAGGAGACAGGCTTGATGGCATTGCCCGTGTTGGCAAAGGCTTGGATGATATGGTTCTGCATGATACAGATCATACAAAAGCCTGACTGGTGACCTGAAACACAGACAACACAAACAGTCAGGGTCACTCACAAAAAGACACAGACGTGTGTTATTGTGACAGTATTCAGATTCAAAAAGACATTACTGTTCAGAACAAATGTAATGTAAAATTTAATGTAAAAACTCAACTGTTCATCACAACACAATGGTGATCTGTCTTTGATGTGGCTCCTTCATACAGTAAGTAAAAAACCCACATTAAACACATAGTAAAAACATATTGGAATAAAAAGCAAAGTCAGAATTAGACTGATGATATTCACAGAAATACTAAAAAGCATAGTGACACAAGTAACGTGATGATTACCCTGGGATATCTACATTTTTCAAACAAATATTCAAAAATATATTTGTATTTAAAGGTGAAAGTTGGATGACAAATAATGATAGTGATAGTGATCATAGAGTATTTTTGTAAATTAATTTGATGGTGGATGGCGATGATCTGATCAGCAGCTTACTTTGCTTTTCTCCCCATTCATCACTTCATGTTCAATTACCTGAAGCCTATTCTGAGCTCTGCCTGCTGCAAGAGCAACTCATTTACAGTAAACTCAGGTGAACAGTGTGTTGTTGCAGTAGAAAACACACAAAAATGTGATTCAGGAAAAAACAAGCTAAAAAAAAAAATCTTTCAACTGTATCTTTCCAGTGACAATTGGTAAAAAACAGAAAATGTTTAGCCTTACATACAGTGTACAGTTTGTGTATGACAATGTGGAGCCTTTATCAAACAGTTTTTATCCCTCATAACACATGTGGGCAAATTAAATTGTGCTATTCTCAAAGGCTTTATTATATCATCTCAATGCCTTCAGCCTCTGTAATACGACTAAATAATAGGTTTGTGATGAAATTAAATCTCACTCCAGACTGTATCTGCAGCTTGGTTCCACTGGTTTGGACCAGAGCAGAAAGTGATTCTTTTGGTGCATTTAGGCTGTTTATTATTTTACAATTTACAGCAATGAAACTTTGGCGTCGGTGAGTCTTGTATCAGTGCCTGAATAAAAGTCAATGTGAACAAACTGGCCAATTGAAGCAGCTGTTTTTATTTTTCTTCTTCAGGTGCTTTGGCTTGCATTCCACAGTGACAGTCCGCCACATGTGTCTGTGCATAAGGTAACAGTAGCCAACTGGGTTAGAGTAATGTCCATAACATAAAACTATGTGGGTGTGTGTTGCGTTAAGACGAATGAAAGAGGATGGGCGTGTAAATGCTGCGAGTCTGGCAGCATTTCATAATACGATTCAAGTACTCACAGGCACGGCTGTGCTCCTTTGAGAGTAAGTAGTTGGCAAGTGGCGGGGTGTAGGTGAGACACTGCACTGTGGAGTTGAGGAAGCAGGTGTTCCCTAGGTTGTGGAGGCCGGCTCCCACCCTGTACACGCGCTCCCATTTAAGGGTGAGCTTGTTCCCTGGAAAGAGCATCTTCTGCGGGGCGGGGATCCCATCGCTCTGGCCCCCAACCACGTTCTCTGAGACTGAAGGACGAGTGCAGTCAATTTCGTGACATTATTAGAACAGTAATTCACAGCACGCAGAAAGTGAGCTTTTAGTGCAGGGGAGGCAATATGGAAAATGTCAAACCATCAAAATCTGCTAAAAGTTCAGCCCGATTTGAGAGCTTACCTTGCCTCTTTATTTGGGCAGGCTCTGGGGCCTTCTGGCCTGTAGCACCCTCATTCCTGGGATTGAGGATCACATACTTGTTCTTCAGGCTGTCCAGCTGATAGGAGAAACCCTTGCTGGCGGGCTCAAACTCGATCTTCTGCAAAAGGACCTTCTTGGCAGAAGAGGCAAGCAGCTTGTTGAGGTCGCCCTCATCGCCCGTCTCCTTTCGACCAGGTTTTAATGCCTCCTTGAGTTTATCCACTATCGGCATTGTTGGAACATCACTGCAGAGAGAGGGGGGTGTCACACAGTCACTAGGCACCTAATGAGGATGCACCATAAGGGCACATAAACAAACCAACCTCTTGTAGCTATGGGCAGTGTTAAAGGCTTATTTTGGCAATGTTATCTGATATCTAACATGTTTATAATATTTATCCGTTAAAATCCATTTTTAAAAATAGCATCCTTCTAAGTATCTTTAAGTTGTCATATCGGTGCACAAGCCACATAGAAAAGGGTCCAATTTCTTTCCAGTTCAAAAATTCCCCTTATCGGCTGCCATACCGGTGATCTGTATGTTTTTTTCCCCACTCTAAAATCGGTACCGGCCTCAAAAACCTCCTTATTGGTCGAGGTCTGGTAGCTACACACCCTGATGTAGCTCACAAGAGAAGATTAAAGAATGAAGTGGCCATCTGAGGAGCCAGGTGGTCTTGGCAGCTGTCCACACAGTTATGGCAAGAACATTAGACCGTTGGTAGCATTACGGTGTGTGTGTGTGTGTGTTGTGTGTGTGTGTGTGTGTTGTGTGTGTTACTGTGTGTGTGTGTGTGTACGAGATAGGAGAGGATGTATAGCACATAAGGTGTAAACAGCTGCTGTTAAGTGCCAGGTCAGATTCTTCTAATTTGTTTTGCCTGCATCAATGTTGGTGTTATCTTCCACCAACTGGAATGTTTCTTCAGTAACATCAAATGTTGTCATCTGCAGTCAGTTATATGAGATTTAAAAAAAAAAAAAAAAACTCTAAAAGATAACAAATCTTGCTTGAACATTAAAACATCTACATGAGGTGTCTGCTGTCTCTTTAAATACAGTGCAGCTGAGTGCACTGAGGACCATTTCAGTGTAGATAACAGTGTGTGCACATTTCCACAACAGCCGTCTGCCAGAGTCAGCCGAGTGAATGACTTCTGACGTGTTATGTTCTACAAAAGGGAGCAGGGCAGGCAAAATGTGTTCAATGCTGACTGAGTGAGTAAACCAATCACTCAGTCTCCAATTTCTCTCAATTTACTCCGGATACGGCCGAGGTAGCCCCAAACACAACAAACCGTTGTAGAGAGTGTAAGCCTTGCATCATGTAGACATTACAGTACTACGCTAGAAACACCAAAAAGGCACAGAGGGTGGCGGGAGAGTCGTGCTCATCAGAGTGGGCGGTGACGTCACGAGGAGGGAAGGAGGGCTGAACATGCATTGTATGCACAAGGGCACGCTGACCTTCACGTGCGGTTGATACTGATACAACTAGGAACGACTCAGCCCATAGGGACACACAGCTAACTGCAGTGATGCAACCGCCAGACGGAGCAGACATTTGGATGCATTGGTCACAAGTGTCTGATCGGATCATTATGTCATCACAATTAGTGATTTCATTTTTGTTCAAAGCACACAGAAAGTGTCTTATTTTTGCATCTGGAAGGTTTTAGCAGCTACACTGACACTGAGCAATGAGCTGTGATTTCTTTGATGTTGTAATGTAATACGAGTTATTCACCAGCAGTGAGTCGATGGGTGTTAGCTGAGGATACCAGTGCTAATATCCAGGTATAGATACAGTATAAGGTTGTGTCATGTAACTGTCAACTCCACCTTCATTAAGAATAAAATGACATTAGGTAATGTGAGGTGCCTTTGGGTGTTATGATGGCCAGTAGGCGCCTTGTGTGAGATCTGAGAGCAGAATCCTGCACCACAAATCACAAGAGATGACCCCTTCACACGAGTTAAGTCAAGTTAAGTGTTTTTACATTGCGTTGTAGCTTCAAATGGTTCAGTTTACTCGGCACTGACTGCTGTCTGTATCAATACCACCACCAATGAGGACGGCGAATCACCTGATGTCTAAAAAATACTGACATTTTAAGAAATTTGCATCTAAACCTCGTTAGTTAAACTATTTCAAGTAATGGTGTGATTATTACGTACTGACCTCTCAATATTAACACGAAAATAATAATAAATATTAAGCAAGTCACAGACTTGCTTAAATACATCGGTGGGGTTTTATTGTATTTTAATACATTTGATAATGCAATCGCAGATCAAACATTATATCCCAGGTTTCTGACCAAACTGATAATACTGATACATAGAAACTTTATGGAGCTTATATGAGGATGTATTGTTGTATTAATTGTACGTATGTATTTCCGATGTATAGAATTTATTTGGCATTCACTTCAAATCAATGTGAAAATAAACTTGAAAGCACAGGCTGATACGTCGGCTAGTGTTTGTGAGAAAACTCATCGACTGGGAAAAAACAGACTTGATCGTTAAGGTATGGTGAAAATACAGCGCTGTGTTGCAGGCGAATCTTGTGTGTTGGATAGATGATGATTTTCTTGCGATGCAACTCGACCATAGCGGCTGAGTAACATGAATAAGTCTCACGTTTTGAAAATGCATTTAGACCAGCATATATCAATAAAATAGCCACCCACACACAATGGACAAGAAAAAAAACAACTGACCAGTTAGAGATGAAACTGACAATTACTTGAGTAGTCAATCAACAGAAAATTTAATTTTAATTATCTATCTTTCTAACCAATTACTTGTTTTAGTCCAAGCAAAAACGTCATTTCATGGTTCCAGCTTTTCAAATGTTTTTTTACCATTATACATTTTGTCACATGATAAACTAAATAACTTTTATTTTATATTATATTTATATTATATTTTGGACTGCTGGACAGACAAGACAAGCTATTTAAAAGACATCGTCTTTGGCTCTGGGAAACTGTGGTTGTAGTCCGATCATTTAGACACAAAGTGATTAACAAGACTAACTGAGAAAATAATCAGCACATTAATCACTAATTAAAAACTAATGTTAGTTGCAGGGCTAATACTGATGTCCACTGCTGGATGTGTGATGGCTTCAAGGGCTTCCCAAAATATTGTAATCAGGAGACACAAGTCAACAAAGTGGACCACGTGAATGGCACGTCGTGATTTTTAGATACACCACTTGTCCAAACACAGAGAGGAGACAGTCTGGCATTACAGCGCATTTATAAAAAAGGTATAACTCTTATTTAATCAACGTAATTATGTTGCTGGCACAAATAACCTTTAATATGGACCACTGAATATTTAACTTACATCGAAAGCAACCCAAAGGCAAACACCATTCATGCTTTATTTACTTATTTACGTATTAATATTATAACCAATAAGCACAAGTATCCACTCGTGGGCTACCACTACGAACGACTTTATGGAGGAGCACCTGAAGGCAGCACAGCCATTGCTGTCACTTCTAAAAACCCTCCATCGTTTTCGTGCGATTAGACGACTAGTTAACTGTCTAATGCCACTGTATTTAAGTCCTCCCGGTTTGTCGGTACCGGTATGAACTCCGGTAGCAGGGCAGCCTCTGTACACCAGCTGGAGTCAACTCTTAGGGCCAGTCACAATGGCTTAAATGCTAGGCTGCTAACACCAACCACAGCTAACGATAATGTCGACCTGGACGGTGTCAAGTTTGGAGACAAAAACGTCGCCATTACTTCAATGTACGCCTTCGCCCCTTCGACGTTTAACAACATGTCACTCCCTGCCGCTCGCTGTATCGTCTCCGGTCTTCTTTTTATTTCTATCGTCCAACGCTTGACAGTAGCAGCAGCAGCAAATTAGCCAGCCAGCTAACTTAACGTGGCGAGATGCTGCAATGTGGGTTAGCATCTGAGCGTCCAGGTGGCTAACACCCCCCCCCCCCCCCNNCCCCCCCTCCTCCACACACACAGCCGCCACATCCTGCCTGTTTGTTTTAACATCACCTGCTACCTGCTAACCACTACTGCGTGTACCCGAGAGGCGTTTGTTCACTCACCTTTACGTTCAGTCGTCCAAAATCGTTGACAGTAGAGGGGTCTGCTTCCTCAGCTGTAGCTCTTGGGTCTGCTATTTTCGCCCATGCTGCATTATCAGGGGGCGGCGACAGCGGTGAGTGACAGGGATCAAAGGCCAATGGGAGAACAGGTCGCCGTGGATGAAGGGTTCAGCCAATCAGCGCTCAAAGTGACGTAGCGCTGTCGAGGGAGGAGGGGGGGGAAGGAGGAGGGGACACGTGACTTCCAGCCAGCGCTGTTTACCATTGATGCAATCGGCTCGCTGCATGTTAACCATTTTTAATGTAACAACAAACACAGAGGAAACCATCGGCTGTAGTCTGCAGATATGTCGGGCTTGCAGCGTTGTTGCGAAACGAAGCTCCGCCCCTCGAGGAGTTAAATCCCTTCCCAAGTGTCAGTTTCCCTATCGCTGCTGAATGAAATACATATTTAATTATCGTGAAATGTCAGCAGATTTTATAGATATTAGGTGACCCTTCCCATGGAGACAGACTGTTGGAGGGAACAAACTAGTATAAGCGCTGAATAATCACTCCTCTTACAGAAGAGTTGAGATTGCATTTCATCCTTGCACAGATGTAATCATAAAGGATGTCTCTCTCAGTGCTATATGCTATAATTCTTTCATATCTAAATCCTGATAAAAGCATATTGATAACTGTACATTCGTGCACATGGACGGGCTCGTGAAGGAATTTATGTTTATGTTCTTGTCTCCACTAGGCGGCAGCAGATTGCTGTTATAGTTATTGATAAGTAAAATATGTCCTTTTACCTATTAAGTCTCTTTAAATACTTATTTAAGAAACTAAAAATTATACGATACTTATATATGGGTTTATCATACTGTTTTTTTCTGTCGCCTGCTGTATGACTTGCACCTCCCTTAAAGAAAAGTGCAGTCCCATTCTTCTTGCAACATATGTGCCTGTTAGGACTAATACTATCTGGTGTTTATTACAATAAAATGTGTTTATTTTCATATTTTATGTAGCTACATAACTAGCAAACAAAGCCACTTCTTTGATGAATTGAATTCCTTTGTAATTAGTGATGGCTTGTCAGTTCGCACACATCGACCAACGGTTGTAGAAATAACCAGAGCGAAGCATCAAAACAGGGTTTGGCATTTAATATAATAGTCAAATGTACAGAATTGTTTCAGTTGGACATGCATGCAAAAATCATCTCAAAACGTCTCATGTGAAACCAGCACAAGACATCATACTTGACTACAGTTTCAAATGAAGAATCTTTTCACACTCATATTAATTATTAAAGTCGCATGACATTTGCTCAACATATTTTATGGTCATATCAAAGGCATCTGCAAGAAAAGAGGATGATTGGTTACAATATGTTCTTTAATTCACAGTCCTAAAAAGGTTAGGACTATGGGACTTAAAAATTAGGCCTACAAGTTGACCTTTAATAAAATGTGTGTATTTTGCTAATACTGTTTACATATTTGGTCTTCTCTTTATGCAATACCAATGGTGTCATTTGTCACAAAAAGTATCAAAATGTGGGCATTTGTTTTCAATAGAATATTATGAATCATATAACCTCCTTAAATAAAACTAGCTCTTACACTAAAGCATTACAAAGAGAAGAGCTGCAATATAAAAAATACAAAATACAAAATGGAGGATTCAATCCTCTTTTTCAGACATTTTTCATTAGAGACAATATGACTGCGGTGACAACTGTGTTCAAAGTGCATTCTTGTCTATTCAGGATTATTTAAGGAAAACAATGAGCAAAGGCACCGACTGTGCTTACTCCAATAAGGATTGCCACATAAAAAAAACAAAAACAGAGTGTAAAAGTTTTGCATACTTGGCAAAAGAAAGAATCTGAAGCAGGACGTGCAAGAGGTGGCGCTCGTTCTTTGTGATAGCTCTGCTGTCACAAATCGGGGTGCCGATTGCCAGCTAATGTTACTTATGAACACACAGATTCACAGAATTGTTACACTTCGAGTTACAGGTATGTATGTGTTGCATTATAGAACTATAGATCACTTTAAACAATACCTTTGGTTAAAAAGGAAATCAGAAATGAGTAGCGCAAGAACAAAGAATCGCTATGAACAGTAATACTGATTTGTGATGATTTATTCAGCTGAGGGAGAAGTGGTTTATGAGCAAGTGCTTCGGATTTAAGGGGTGGAAGTGTCTGAAAGTGCTGAATTCATTAGACTATTGATTTAAAAAAACGTCCCGCAAATAAAAACATAACAATTTCACTTTTTTCCAACCTCACCACAGAGCACATGTCCTATGGCTCTTTTAATAAGAAGAAAAAAAAAAAAGAAAAATAAGAATTTGACTGTAATTATTTGTATGTTTTGGTATTTATATCTTAGTATATCTCAACTTCAGACATTGGACTATTGGACAGTGGTGGAGTTAAGGGTCTTCGATGTCCAGGAAATCCTTTTTGGGCGGTGCTGCCCCTCTGTACCAGGCACAAGAGTCATCACTCCTCTTGATACAAGCAAAGTGTTTGGCCTGCTCTCCGTTGACCGTCTTCTCGATCACCCAGTCCAACCACAGGCACTCTTTTGGGCTGCTGATCATGCAGGGGATGGAGGTGCAGCGAGTGATCTGAGGACCGGGGAAAAGAGACCAGGAGATCAGGGACTGAATTTGCAACGAGCGATGCATCTTTCAAGGTCATTTTTAGTTTGTGGAAACTCTACTTTACCTTGCAATCGCAGCCCATTTCGTAGCGCTGAGTCAGGCTCCTCTTCTGGGTTTCACTCGTGGCCTCCCAGGGCTCAATGAAGTCGCACAGTGTGATATGCACTGTCCCGTCAGCCTCCAGTTTGCCTGTAGTGGAAGGAGAGCACATAAGAGGCAGTGAGAAGACATGAAAACATATATAAAGATGTACCAAGGAAATATATTTGTTATATTTTATAATGTGTGATGTGTAAGGGGGTAAACGTTCTACCTGTGATAAGATACTCCTTGCCATTAGTCTGCAGAGTGACTCCACACACTGCAGAGGAGGGAGCAGTGTAGATGGCATCAATTACCTGGTTGGGACCTTTGAACATCTGATGGTTGAAACAGAGAAAAGAACATTTAGATTCATCCTGGAATAAAGTTTACAGCATGAAAACAATAACTTTGTCCCACGTACCTTGATTTGTTTGATGTCATACTTGATCCGTTTTATGGGGTTTCCATAGATGTCGTTGCCAACCTCAACCTCCTGCTCTCCGACTAACCTTGCCCTGATAACTGCAAAGAGACAACAAAAACAACCCCACAGTTACATCCGCAGTACCCGAAGACAAAGTTTCAAATCAAAACAACTATTGTCATGTTAAAACCGAGCTGGATCTGGGGCCGTCTGTATCTGATCTAAGCCCTGCCTAGGTTTGGCATGCTGGAGCTGGCCACAAAACATTGCTGTGGCTTGGATCTGAGGAGTTTGCATATGCCAGGTGCTGGGAAGACAGAGGCACATGAGTGTTTCATCAGCTGCAATCAGAGGGAGGAATGTGTGCTGCTTGCTCCACGGGCTCCCGGGCCGACACAGGAGGAAGCTAGTCAGCAAATCTTTGAAAAGCTGAACTAGAATGCTCCCCTCGCCCCCAAGGCCTCTCTGCCGGCCTGCCTCTCTGTCTGGATAGAGGTGCTGACATGCAAATCAACCTCTCTCCCTTTCGCGTGCAGCCTTTCCCCTTCTTCTTCTTCTTGTAATTCTGCTTCTTTTCTCTTTTCTTGAGCTCTGAAGTCGCAGCTACCAGAGAGAGGTTTGGACGAGGGGGAAAAAAATATAACAGTTCAAGTGGAAAAATATTATCAGAGCCATACGGATGAGCCTCTGAGCTCAAATACTGAGTATTCAACAAAAAAATGACTCATGGCTTTCAAAAACACTGCTTCTGTTATGTGTATTCAAATGTTGAAGCACAGTATAGCATTGATCATATGCCAGCCACAGTTAAATACCTTTGGATTACGGGTATCATTACTGCACAATCACATGACTACTACACTGAAAAAAGGTCATATTCAAGATCAAGCTTTTAACTGGAGGAGACTAGTGACAAAGCTAATGTTAACCAGATGTTCCCTCTCAACTCCCTGTTCAGTCCTTGCTTTCCCAAGGTAGCAGCTACTGACTTCCCCAGACCATCACCAGCCTGCTTCCTTACCAAATAAGATCAAGCCTTTTCATTTGCTTTTTAAATGCTGAAGGTATGAAGCTGCAAGCCATATGTGCCCTAACTTGATGACAATAGAGGCTTAGAGAACATCTCCTTTTAAGGGTCTAAAGACTCGACCCTTAAAGAGAAAAAAAGGGAAAAAAATGAGAAAAAAGGAGAGTGTGTGCACGCAGATGGAGAGAGTGATGGAGTGTTGAGGATGGTTGCCTTCTCCGAGGCAGGGGAGAATGGTGATGGAACAAATTGAAGGGCTAGCATTAGCCTACCAGTGTCCTGTGTGTGCAGGGAGGAGATAATCCTTCCAAGCTGCACCCTCACAAACATACAAGTTGACAGAGAGAGAAAGAGGCGACGGACAGGACAACCGAGAGAGAGGGGGAGGATTTAGTTTGCAGCCAGGAAAATGTTCAAAATACTGGAGTTGTGCAAGCTGTGTTCTTTCCTGCAGTGCTGCTGCAAAGTAGCGGATATGCTGGCAAACGAGCTGTACACACTAAAAAAAGGCATGATTTAGAATGACAAACTACACCGTTGAAGAGGACTTGGTTTATCACAAACTCCTTCGAAACACTCTGAAACTCACTGAGCAAGAAGCGCTGAGAAAACTCTCCAAGTTCTCTGGCTACAAAGTGGATTAGTGGTAATCCCCTTCGCCTGAGTGTGCAGAATCACACACAGATGAGGGCAGGTGAAAATATGCACAGTATGTAAAAAAAACACTGAAATATGGGGGCTTATGTGAATGATACATATAATCTGAGCATGTGAGCTCTAAAGACAACCTTGTGAAGGTTCTGGTTAACTCTTTGCATTGTATACAACGTGCTAAAAATAGACACATTATAACAATAAGATGTTTTCTCCATTTCATTATCTACAGAACATCCACATTCCAGCTATTTAAGTT